TACTTTTTTTATTTTTTTATATATACTTCTTTGCCCTTGTCATCACTGGACCTTCCTTAACCTTGAGTCTGCCTGAACCCCGAGAAGACATTGCAGAATGCATCACTTCTGCCAGACATAGGGCACCCATAGGAAGCGCTCATTCACTGGAGTATTGTGACCCTGCTCAGTGCTGCGATGCTTTAGTTTTAAAAAAGCTACCCACCTCCCTAGGTGATGTGGACATGCTATATTGTCATACACAGCATCAGAGAAAGTAAAGCTGGGCATTGCCAGCCATGAGAGCCATCAAGGGGGAGGGTTATTAGTGATGACAATGCTGATAACTCATCCTCAATGTGAATGGAACCACAGCAATGTAGTCCTTGAAGCTATAGCACTGAGCTGGGTCACAATGCTGCACTGAACTGACTGCAGGCTTTTCAGTGTTGTCACCCTGCTCGAAGAAGGTGAATCAACTGTCAAGATCACCATGTGTTCATAGCTAATGATGCCTAATTCTATTAACAGCACAGATTGTTTTAATTGTTTATAATGTAAGAGCAATGCCTATTGTTTAGCTGTGCCTTAATACTTTCTTTTCACAAAAATCCTAGCTCATGTTAGCATAACTGAAGGTGGTCTTCTCATATAGCTAGCATTTAGCAAGAACCCCGCTATGTATAATTGCATCTAAACAGACCACAAACCTGCAGTTTTTGGCAAAAGTACAGCTTTTTATGAGGACCCAAAGCCCCTGGTAGGCTCATATGGAAGAATTAAATAAAAGTTAGGGCCTATATGTGACCAGACCTTTTCCACATCATTTCATAGCTGAGCAGGTCTGAACCTGGACTTGTCCCATGAAAGAAAAGGACCTTCCACTCTTCTGTGTTGTATACGGTAAATAATTCATCAGTCAGTGCAATGTAGTGGAGGTTGGTCTGCATATTTGCATCATTTCCAGTGGAGGTAAAGAAGAAAAATGTTTTGAATGGTCTGACTTTGTAATTTTAGTGGCTTTTAAAAAAAATATTTTCCTTTTGCCTTGTTTTGAATTGATACAGATTCATACAAATGCTAGTTCCTAAAGTATTTCTAAAGCCAAAACATTTTTCCCAGATTTGACCAATTCCCAACTCTATCTGTTTTTTGACATCTGTATCCCAATGGAGAGATTTCGTGTCGTGCAGACAAAACAGGAAGTGAGATGAAATCTCTAAAAAAAAAAAGGGAAATCCCATGTTAGACAGTTGTTACTAGAACAAGTTTCCCCATTGGAAGATTTTTTTCTCTATCGCTGTTCTGGTGACACTTCGGTATTTTGGATTCTCCATACACTTTCAGTCCCATTGACGGTGGTCAGCAAGACAACTCGAGAGGGTTCAGGGATTCCAACTCTTCACCACTTTATGAAAAATTACAAAAATAAATAAGGGATTAGTATGCACTTTAAGATCAAGAGTTTCAGCCAATTCCTTGGCCACCGTGTGGACGTGTGCCCAGAGACATCCTTCTATGTTTCGCAGTGGTATTTTTGTGTATGTTGTGTTAATGTGGTTTTGTGACATCATCGCACTGCAATATCATTATAATGGAGCACTGGTATCCGTGTGTTTTAGTTCAGTGGATTGATGGAATCATATGCAGCCTGTGGGCGCCCAAGAGTATTGATCTGGACTTAGTTACACACTTTGACCTTCTTCCTATTTTTGTAGCATGTATGCCTACCTCCCCTTGCAGACCATGAGTATGTAATATAAATATATATATAAATATATATATATTTGCTGTCCTCCCAAGTTGTTGACATTTGTAGAAAACTCCTTTTCCTTTTTAACCATTCTATCATTTTGGATATGTACTTTTTTATATGTGAGTATACATTTAACTGGACAACCAGCCACTTATTAGTTTAAAATCATTTTAATAGACGCTTCTAGTTGTTAAATTGTTTAGTCTTAAATGGATTTTGGGCTTGTGCACTTCCCTTCTGTAAAAGGCAAGCTAGTCGTTTTTTGTTTTTTTGCTGACCTTCTCTTCTATTCCCCTGTGCTGTCATTAAGGGGGTTTCCTCGATCTTCCAGAACCAGGAGAAGGAATTGCAGAGAGCACTCTGCCTCACCTCTGTCAACACATGGCATGATCAGCCATGATTGGCATTACCAATGAAGGTTATTAGCAGTGACAACGCTGATAGCCCTCCACTTTAGTGTGCATGGTGCCACAGCAATATTGTCCCTGCACCTGCAGCACCAAGCTGGCTGAAAGTGCTGCTGTCAATTCACTGCTTGTCACCCTGCTGGAGGAAGGGCAGTTAACTGTCGGGGTCACCAGTATTTAGTAATGTTATCTGCCATCAAAATAAACTGTACGGTGCAGTTTTCTTACATTGCTTATGATATATGAGCATTTATTTTCTGTTTAGGCATAGTTGTACTTAAATGCTTTCTCCTCCAAAAAATCCTAGCATCTCTTACTATAACCGAAATGGAGGAAGTCTTCAGTGTTACATGTATGACATAGTATAGGTGTATACATGGAAACCATGGCTTCTATGGAGTAGGGCTTGGTACCCAATGGGACAGTATAACAACACAGGTTATGGTGAGAAAGAACTAAAGCAATCAAAATGCCTTCTCTCCTGTCTGAGTGAGAGCATTTTGTTTGCTTTAGGTTATGGTTCACCATAACCTGTATGGTTATACCGTCCCATTGGGTCCTAAGCCCTACTCCATAGAAGCCATGGTTTCCATGTACTGCACTGATGATGGCCTGAAACAGCTGTATGCAGTTCAGAATAAATTGAGGTATAATATTAGGCTGTGCATCTGGCCAATGGTGAATAAAGCAATGAATTGCCTTGCTCTACCCACTGTCCAGAAATATATAATCCTCTTATCTTTGGATATGTGATGGAATGGGCGATTTCAAAAAGGCTTTACTGTGTAGATATGAGCCTGCACCAACTTCTTAATACTTCTTAACCATTCTATCATTTGGATATATACTTTTTATATGCAAGTGTAAATTTAAATGAACAACCAGTCACTTGTTTGAAAGCAATTGAATAGACATTTCCAGATCTTTTTCTATTTAAACGTTAGAATATTTTGGTCCTTCTAGAAATATATCATGTTATAAGGATATAGTATCATGTTTTTTATTTATTTAGGGCTCTGGAGCTAGCAGTGAAACACAAAACACATGTCGACACTGTGTTGGCATATCGGCAGAAATATCTAAAGGACTTTGGTAAAGAAGAAACCAACAAGAGATTTCTGCAATATGCAGAAGGCGTAAGTAGATTCCTCAGATGATATACCGTATGTAATCATTACTGTGTGATGCATTGCCCTGTAATATGAGATCTCTGTACAGTAGTCATTGCTGGCACTGCCTACACTCATCTAGAGAAAATGTTGGTACACAGATACCCAAGCAGGATCTATAATGATTCACAGCAACCTCAAAGTTCCTTACTTGACCTATATGTTTCCAATTCTGTAAAATACTGCAGAACCAAGGCTAGCCATACACATGTCGATTTCTTTTGTTCAGCCCACAGCCTAAAAAAAGAGAAAATCACTTGTTTTCCTCATTCGCAATAAACAGCCTGGATGGTGCAATCTCTATTGCTGGTGGATGTTGTGACATAAAGCAAGGAATGGTTATACATGGGAGGTATGCCAGACCAAGCCTTTTAGATTGCATCCCTCTGTTTAGTTAAAAGAAAAAACCAGGGAAAGCATTAATGATTTAGTTGTGCAATTTATAAATTGTTTTCTGGGTCCCTGGGGTTGGGATAATAGAGAGAAGGGTGGGCCATTATCCCATCAGCTCAGTAAGCTGTCCAGTCCAGGTTTTGTCGCTGCAGCTTGGTACTCACAGGTGTAGTCCATGATTGCGGCTGTGAGTGAGAGGAGGTTCTGATGAAGGGGGGGTGCCCCTGAAACGCGTAGACCTTTAGAACTCAAGGGGGCAGAGGACGCTGATGTGCTGTACTCCTTCAGACTTCCGCTGCTAGAGATTTTATACTTCATCACCATTTGTATGCTTTTAACCACCGACTTTCCTGTAAGTACATTTTTATTTGCGTGTTGTACAAATAAATTACACTTTTACACTATGGAGGCGCTCTGTCTTGTCCCTTGTTTAAAAGGAAGCCTGGCTTTATGTGTAAAGGTGCCCATACAGCTTACAACCATCGTCAGACTTTTGTCTTGCGATGGTTGTAGGCTGATTAAAAGCTTGTACCATCTGCCCATCTTGGACAGGCAGATCGTACTTGCGATCATCGAAAGCCCGCCCCGCTGAGGGGTGGGCTTCCGATGACTGCAATGCTGAACGGGCAGTGTGCGCTTGGGCACACCGGCCCATTCGGCATTTGTCTTACAAGCATGCCACGAAAACGCCGACAATCGTACGATTCTCGGCAGGTTTTCAAACATGCTCGTTAGACAAAAGACGTGCGACCGTACAGAAACGGTTGCACACCTTCCATACACCTGCCGATTATTGTACGATCGTGGGATTTCCAGTGATTATTGTAGATAATTGCAAGGTGTATGGGCACCTTAAGAGACGGTTACCAAGCTAGGTGAGCTGGAGGATTGAAGCCTGCATGGATCTGTTTGTTGCTGAGAAGGACATTATCTTAGAAACCGCATTGGAGTACAGGAAAGTACTGGCTAATGTTATGAAGTATCGTGTTTTACTGCAAAGAGAGGGCTGTATTGCATGACCTGCAGAAATACTAGTTTGCTGTGTGCCGTGGAAAATAAAGCTTTTGAAAAGTTAAGTGGAGTCTGGTGCTGTATTTGCCCTAGAAGACCGTGGTTAAGAACAGTTCCTGTTACAATGTATTGAAACCGCCACGACACGTACGGCTATCTGAATAACCCAACAGTTACTGAATACAGTTGCTGCTCAGCAGAGAATTTACTACCCAGCTTAGTCCCTTATTAAAATATGTTTAATTAAGCGGAGTGGTGTTGACGGGCACCCATCAGGGCCTGTGCAAGGATTTTTGCCCACACAGACGAAGGTGCATTTTTGCACACAATCTCCCCCTCCCCCCCCACTTGTAACAGTACGGAGAACCGCAAAATATGTTGAGCAGGACCATAAACTAACACTAACCGCACTCCCTTTCCACTAACACTAACTATTCTTTAACACTAACTGGTTAAATAATCCATAGTACAACTACATGTTATATACTATGGATCATGATTGAACCTATTCATGTTAGCAGCGGAGAATTGTAAATCTATTGCTGTAATGTAGTGGAGGTGTGTGCTGTATATACGTACTACATATACATTACACACGTCCAGTACACTATAGCAATAGATTTACAGCCAGCCCCGTCCCAGCTTCCCTCACTCACAGTTTCACTCCGATCCTTGTTGCCTCACGCGGGGTCCTTGTTGCCTCTTGTAGTCGTCGCTGGGCAGGATCGCTGCATCGCGTCTCGGTGCTCAGCTTGTGGGCGGCGCTCACAATTCTGCCCTGCTAACATGAATGGGTTAAATCATGATGCATAGTACATATACAGTACACATGTCCCGTACACTGCAGTAATAGAGTTACGATTATCCCCTGCTAACATGAATAGGTTAAATGATCAGTAGTACTATTATGTACTATGGATCTTTTAACCTATTCATTGTAAATCTATTGTAAATCTATTGCTGGAGTATACTGGACGTGTGTAACGTACATGTACTACGTACTACATATAGAGTATACACTGCAGACAATAGATTTACAATTATCCTCTGCTAACATGAATGGGTTAAATGATCTATAGTACATAACATGTTGTTAGTACATGTAGTTAAATGTAGTTAGTACATGTAGTTAAATGATCTATGGTACATAACATATGTAGTTATGTAGTTGTAGATCATTTAACCCATTAATATTAGCAGGGGATAATTGTGAATCTATTGCCGGCAGTGTATTGGGAACGTGTACTGTATATATATGTACTACATATAGAGTATACACTGCAGACAATAGATTTACAATTATCCTCTGCTAACATGAATGGGTTAAATGATCCGTAGTGTACATATTATGTACTATGGAACATTTAATCCATATTAGCAGAGGATAATTGTACATCTATTGTCTGCAGTGTATACTCTATATGTAGAACATATAGAGTACACACTGCAGACAATAGATGTACAATTATCAACTGCTAATAATCGTAAGTTCAGACCACCCTTGCCCTCACTCACTGGCCTTTCCTGAACTGCTTCCTACTCTGTGCTCAAACTCAGCATGAGACCTGTATGTGACCTGCATTTAAATGGCTGGAGGTGCTTCCATGCTAATTTATTCCTGTTGTCCCCAACACAGAAGCATCCTTGAGATCTTGTGTGGCCTTGTTACTGTAGGCTATTGGCTGTAGTACACATACTAAGCCAGAAACGGAGCACCGCTTTGTTAAGAAGAAAGGGATGCAGAGAACCTAAATACAATAGTAAATACTATATTAACACCAGGATTCATACGGGAAGTATGCGTATGATATTCTAGAAGCAACTCTTTAAAGCTGGACTGGTATATATAAAAAGTACAATTTAATACAGCAATGTGTATTAAAAATGGTTACATTATGCCGTAAATGATGAAACGAAACCCCAGGAGCATGCTACAACATAGGAGCTCAGGGTGATGACATCATCAGTGCGCTGCCTCTCCTTCATTAATGTGGGTCAGGTGACTGACATCACTGCGTTCCTTAAAGTGTATGTAAACCCTAACAATGTGCTTCTCTCTCATTTGCTCATCTTTGGCCTGTTTAATATTCCATTGAAAGTGCTTTGTTATATCTGTTGAGTCCAAAGAAACACTTCTTGATCCTGTCAAAAGTTTACAGCTGTCCTCTGCACTATGGGGTGTTATCAGCCATACCTAGTTCTCCTCTGTGAATTACAGAATACCTTCCCCCTATGTTATGGAGATGAGAAAGGGTGGTGTTTGTAAACCAAATCAGGAGAGCAGCCTAAGGTGACAATGCTGCAGTACACTGTGTGCATTGTCACCCTAGGACAGGAAGTGTGTTACTGGCAGGAACATTGTGTCAAAATAAAGGAGAAAAATCATGAAATATATATAATTTTTATTTTATTTATTTTTTCTTGGGTTTAGACACACAAAGAAAGTTACTCTCTAGACTATGCACTATGGCAAGAGTGAGTCACAGAAGTTGTTGAACAGAATCACAGATATTCTGAGAATAAACTGTTCATCTTCTATATATGTATTCCATACATTACTAGGCAATAGTAGAGTAAGCGGAAGAGAGCACCAGAGCCACCAACCAGGAGTCTTAATTACAGATAAAAAGCAAGCATACCCCTATTTGGGAAGCAGCACAAAGAAAGTATCTGGTTTTTATTTCACTGGCCACAGATTCACTTTAAACTGTAATATTTTATAATGTTTATTCCCACTTTGTACTACTCCACTCTTTCTACATCCTTCTGTATAAGTGTATAAAGTAATGTCTCAATTACAGTGATCAGTCCACTCCAGGCCTTTATCTGGGCAACCTATCATCATCTGTACCGATCGAGTCACATTCTGGTTGTCTCTCTGCGCCCTCTAGAGTGATATCATTTGATCCTCCACTTCTCGCATTTTATACAGCTCTAATCTTCCATCTTTAATAAACTCTCCATTCGGCTGCGGCGTGCTGCAGTAATGGAAAGGTTATCTCTTTGATGTATGTTCAGTTCACTGTGCTGAATGCTATAAAGATCTGCTAACTATTGACTTTCCTGAAATACTCCCTCATGTCACTGGACCTCATACTCCTCACACACTTTGCTGGGACAGCACTCTTCCTGCTTCTACACTACAATAAACTAGAGTATACATAAATTACAAAATCGAAGAGCGGAGATGCACAAACAAACCTCAATATTGAATGCTTCAGTTGCAAACCTGAAAGTGAAACTAAACTCAGGAGTTAAATCTTAAAAATGCATTCAAGTACCTTAACTGTTAATAAAAATGTATCTTTTTTGAGCATCATTTAGTTATAGATCCACAAATCTTCTCTGATTGAATGCTGACACTGTCCTTCTTTCTGGAGGTGGGCTACTTTTTGTTCCCCATGGTCCCTGTGTGTGTTATAAAGTAGTCACTACTCCAAGCTCACTCTCATGATGGACTACAATCTCATGTTTAGTTTACTAATTTGTAGCGAGATTGTAGTCCATCTCGGTAGTGAACTTGGACATGTGCCGGGTTCAGCGCATCAGCACTGTGTTGTGCAACTTGGCCCTAAGGGCCTAAAAGTTGAACTATTTTTGCAACCAATGGTGATTAAATCTGGCGTCACAAAACTTCTTTCCTTTCATCTCTTCCACTTGCTGTTCTGGTGAATGTTGGTGTCATAGGATTCTCCTCTGAAGAATTTGTGACAAACAACAAATGGGAGGTGAATTGCTGTGGAGATTGACACAGCTGGTCCGTTGTTTTATATATGTGGTGCCCCATCGGCCTCCTCTCAAATTCTTGTGGAAATGGGTGTATTTATCCAGTTAAAGTACTTTCATTCATAATTTGTAATCCCTCTAAAATAAATGTGCTTTTTCTGTACTTTGCGCAGGTTGAAGTAAGCTGGGAGAAAATCAAAGCCAAAATCGAGATGGAGCTTGCGAAAGAGAGAGAACGAGCTTCTGCTGGGCCTCTAACCAGGAGCAGTGTTTCCATGTAACCTTACACAAACATCATTAACAGTTTACCAAATGAACAATTGTGTTTAAAACAACCGATCCAATTGAGTTGTTTTCCCAGTGACATTAGAAATTGACAGAAGACATCTGTTCCCTGGTGACCACAGAACAAGCATCCACTATGTTTAAACTCCCAATGTTGTTGTGCTTACCACCTCCTTTGTACAGATACAGCTGTGTATGATGCACTAAGCATTGTAGATCCCAATGGCTCGCAGCTACCTATGCCTGCACCCGGACAGGAAATAGACAACCACAGGCTGACATATCCCAGACGTGATCAGAGAGAAGGCTGAGATTACATTTACCTTGCTGCACCTCAGTTTGGTGGAGTGTTTTTTCTATATCTTATTAATGCTACAGTATAACAGTTTTATTCCCTTAGCTTCAAATAATTCTCCATAGGTGGTAAAAAAAATATAAGGACCCCTTTCATTTTATGCTTGGCACGTGTAACAAAAACTCATGGCAACACATTTCATTTTCAGTGGCACCCCACCTGCGATGCAGTGCACCGTAACACACTACCATGTCTTGTATAAAAAAATTATCTGTCTCTTTTTTGGTGGGGGAGCTTGTTGTCCATTTTTGTGTGGAATGGGCTGCCTTAACACAACACATGTTACCATGAGATCAGGTTTGGAGTGAACCTAGTGTCCTGTGAACATGGAAGGAAGCTCCTTCTGCTGCCACCTAATCAGCTGCAGCTGGGGAATTCCCCGCCCACAGAAACAAAGGGGTGGAATGCAGTGACATAATTGACCTTATATGGTCACATGGTCTTATTTGGTCAGTGACATTGGCCTAATATAGCCACGTGGCCATATACTGTCAATTATGTCAGCATAAGCATCCTGCCCCTTTGTTTATGTGAAGCTGCTGGGTGGGGACTGGGTTCAGTCCAAACCTGAGCTCATCCCTACTTAACACATATGCGCTAATGCAATACACAAGAACAGAAAGATGTGATGGGGCTGTAAAGAGCCATAGTTCAGTGCCTCGTCCAGTTCTAGCCACATCTAGCCAAATGTGTTAAACAGCTACATCATTACACTAATGTTTTCTATGACTTAAAATACAAAGATAATTCAAGGTTTGTTGGATGTCATGTTATATTCATTTGTTATAAACAAACTTTAAAATAAGGTATATTAGGAGTATCTATGGTAAAATTGCACAATACTTCATAGAAATCCATCAGTTGTGTTCTGGTTCTATGATCTATTCTTGCTTGTTTATTTTATAAATATAAATTATTTTGTAACTGTTACAATATGAAAACCTTAGGTCTTATTTATGATTATGTATATTTTGCACTTTTGTATTCGAACTACAAATAATAAAAAAAAAATGAAACCAAATGTTACACTGTTATCAAAAATCTTATTAGAACTTATTTAAAGCTTATGAGCAATTGTACACAGCATTTTTTAAAGTAAAATTGTGCTTTGTCCATGCAGGAAAAAAAGTAACTGGTTCATTTTAATAGTGGTCCCCACAGATATTTATTTTTTGCCTTCAATTCATTACTCCACTATTTTGTGTGAGAAAGTAAAGTGACGTACCTGGTATTTTCAGGTGTGGTGCAGCATTTGACTCACTCCCCTCCTTCCAAGTGACAGCATGGGTATGTGACCATTGACTGCTCAGGCACATGGGGGCAGGATTGGAGTCCTTAGCTATGTGTAATTTTTAGGTCATGGTCTCTTCAATTCTGTACACAGAGTCGGGAATGGGGTGGGTGTGGGAGGGGCAAAGGGGTTTTTAAGTGAGAGCAGCTGCTGAAGTGGCCATTAAAGTAAACCTGTTGCCTGCATAGGAAAAATAAGAGCCCTTAAAATACCCATAGAAAAATGAGATTAGACATGTTTGACATTTGCTTTGTAGCCTAATTTCTAACCTTCCGTCCTGCTGCTGATTTCACCCTCGCCCTGCCAATAGCAGGCTAAAGGTAGTCCTCCTGTACCTGGGCCCATTGAGTCAGCAGGGGGCCTGGCAAGGGCTCACTGTGGGTGGTCTCAATGCAGTGTCCATAGCTCAGGGTTGGGTCCCAGTACAGTGTCTATGGTTTGGGGCACATGCTAGCTCCCCCTTTCATAGCCAACAGGTGGGATAAATGAGCTTTGACTGTGGATCTTCTGCTTAGGTTGTGCAGCCAGGCATGATGTCAGGGGTGTAGCTCAAGAAACCATAGATGACACTTTCCATATGGCTCAGGAAGACAGCCTGCAAACAGGACTTGAACCCCAGCTCAGCCTCTAGCAGCTGCCGGCCATTGGGTTGCTCTTTTTCAGATATACAGTACACATCAGAACCGATGGGGCTCACACAACGAGTACCGAGCTCATATCTCACCCTGTTTTGTACATCACATATTGCCCTAAAAATCCTCAGCGGGAACTCCACTCCATAAACTGGTGACAACCATGGATCCAGCCTCTTGTATGAAGAGCTTACTTCTGGCCATAGCGCAGTACATCAATAACAAAGCCAACAGGGCAGCTGTTAAAATAAATAAAAATAAGCTTTTTTTTATTTTAAATGAAATTTGTTTCTATTTAACCCCTTATTAACCCTCAGTTTACCATAATCAGCCCTAATTAACTTATCCTTACCCTTTGCCCCTTAACTATTATGTTCCATTTTTATTTTATGTATTTAATTTTTTTTTTAATTATTTGTTGTAATCTTAATTTTTTTAATGTTGCATAAAAAAAATTTGCAAAATTAAGGGGGGAAAAAAACTATTTTTCATTTGTAATTGAGTGTAATGCCTTGTACCAGAATCATGATTTCATTGTAATTTAAAATGGAACAAATGATGCAATAACATTTTACATTTTTAATTAACACTATTTTTTTTTAGTAGCACTATTTTCTTACGTTAGCACTGATCAAAGTAGAAAAAAAAAATATGAATAAAAATATGAATTGTATAAATAAAAATGCAAGAAATATATTACTGAAAGTAAGCCTTGTTTCTCCTAAAGAAAAAAAAAGATGTTACTTTGTAATCTTAAGAAATGACAAAGTTCTTGCCAAATGAACTGGCCCATAGCAGAAATATCAAAATTGCTCTGGTCCATCAGGGGTATACAGGTGTGAGAGCTGAAGTGGTTATTGTTAGCTGATATTATTTTAGGAATTGTGTCCCTTGGCACTTCTCCTATGACAGCATTTCCCATACTTGCATTAATTGTGACAAAGTGTGCAGTGCCCAAGCACCATCCGTACTACTATAGGTTATACATGTACTGTGGGAGCTAGCATTCTGTAGGTAGTTTTCCTTTTCAGGATGAAAGGCACCCTCAAGACACACAATCAGCATTCTTCCTCCAGTGCCTGCTACTGGTAACCAGTAATATTCTCCCACAGAACTCTTCTGCACATAAATCCTGATTTTGGCCTTTACCTCCTACAGTGAAAATAAGTATAATCAGTGGTACTGATTGGGAACATAGTTCTGTGGGATTACTGCACAGGAAGTCAGCTGGGTGCTTGAAAATATTGCTTAGTTCTCTTCTACTTTTGTTTTATCTTCAGTTCTAAAACTTTTACATATTACATAATGAAACCACTTTAAAATATAAAAACAAAATACTTTAGGTCCGCTTTTAATGTTTAGTGATCCCTTAGGACTCCTAAATTGTCTTAAGTGTGTTGCGTTTCTATACTATAATTTTAATAATGTCTTTTTTTTGTATTGGGTACATTTGTTTTCTATCATTTAGAAGTATTTTACTTTGCAGCTCCATTGAACAGATCTGAAAAAGTGATCTTGTACTTGTAGATATGAGGAATTGTATCTGAAAGTAGTATCAAATGCTCAATCTTTTTTTTTCTTTCAATAATGAATCCAGACCAAACAAATATACATTACCCAGCAAAGTATTTCTTTACATGTTTGCCCAAACACTTAGAGTGATCGCATTTCCAAACAGCTGCTTCCAATTCTCTCAGCTCGGCTTCCATAAACTTCCTGTCCAGTACAAGGTCACAAGGGACAGGGCAGTCTGAAGCAGCTGTCCATCTACTAGCTTGGATGAGAGAAGAATGGGGAGCAGTGGGAGTGTCCTGTCTTGCTGTGTTTGTGGAGACACACACAGCTTGCTAGCACACACAAGGGTAGCTCCATAGGACCCTGCAGGAGAAAGTAGCCACCCTTAAACAGCATATCAGGGCCAATGCTCAGGGGAGCAGCTGATTCTGTAGAAAGCTAGACATATCAGGGAACAGCATCCATTGTAAGTGATCTCATCAGCATTTGAAATAGCTTAAAAACCTTTTGATTTTAATATCACTCTAGCTCATGAAATGCTTTATTTCATAATATTAATTTATTACATTTTTAGCTAAGTTCAGATAAAAGACCATTGCTCTATAAACAAAATTGACCATTATGTTAACACCTATATCAATACATTAAAGTGACGTAACACTTTTCATGTTCCAGCTAGCACCAACATATACCATCTACATGAATATATCAGGGGTGTGCCTAAAATTCTCTAGGATTTGACACGAGCTCCAGAGCCAAACAAAATCTCATTGTTAAAGGGTATCTTTGGTCAAAAATAACAAATATACATTTCTATATTGAATTTCCATAAGTTCTATCCCACTCCTAATAATAATATCCATCTAGAAGTTTGCACACTCATTGAAGATGCCCATAGGATGTACTGTCTCAATGCACTGACACAATTTCACACAGCCCTGTGAATATACATTTATTTGCATATTTGTTAAGACGTAGTAAAGCACATGTCTTACTATGCGTTACCCCAGCTCACCATTACAGTAGCAGGCAATGCACCATAACTGTCTTGCATGCTGCATTAAATAAAAGTTATGTTCGATTTTTATTGTGTTATGGTGCAATAAAATTCATTACTATTCTAAATGACATTGTGCTTGCTTACACAGTAAAAGCAAAAGTCACCCAAAACATTCAACATATATGGCATGACCATAGAATAAATTGGGGGAGGTTTTTTTTAATTACAGGCATTCCTCGTTTATTCCATGCAAGCTCTTGGGATTACTCAGATCCTGGGGGCTTGCATGTTTGACAACTCCAGTTTAACTCCCCAAAAAAAGACATTGAGGCTCACTAAACAAGTAAACAATGTGTGCAAGAAATTTTGTGGTGCCCTTTGTTGGCTGGCTGAAGTTGTTGGGGATGCAAGCTCTTGGGATTACTCAGATCCTGGGGGCTTGCATGTTAGACAACTCCAATTAAATTAAGGGGATTACAGGGTTTCATAAGTCTTGCATTTATCGATGGCTAACATGGTACCACACTGTACTGTACTAAACAAGCTGTACAGAATTGTACCAAAAAAAAAATTCAAGCTAACATTTAACAGGGTTATTCACAAAAAGGTGAAGAGTTTGGAGAAGGCAGGAGACGTGAACAATCTAGTACAACATAGCTGAACTGGAAAGTGAGCTGAATTGGATAATTTTTCCAAATCAGCTATTTTGTATTAGATTGTTCACTTCTCCTGCCTTCTCCATACTCTTCACCCTTTAGTGAATAGCCCTTTTACTCTTTGAATCCTAAAAAGGTATCATCAGTGTCATCATCGGAATTCTGATCAGGAGATGTAGAAGGCACGGGAGATGATGAAGTAGAAATTAATAAACTAGTAATAGGGGTCCTGGGTGTAGTTTTCGAGAAAAATTCCGTTAGTGTGGTCTGTTTTGTCATTTTCTTTTTTGCTTCATACATTTCACGATAGCAACGTAAAAGTTCACTTATTTGCCGTTCCACTTTTGTGAACCGTTCAACAATCGGATCCATAGCTTCCAGTTCTAACATAGCTGCATTCACTTTTGAGAACACACCCGCTAATCTCTTTGCAGTGAAGTTCTTTGGTACTTCTTCAATTCTTTCCTCTTCTTCTTCCTCCTCTTCTAAGTGTTGCTGTGCTTCCAACTCTATTAAATCTTCTGTACTTAGCTCTCCCTCAGTATATTCCACTAATTCTTTAATATCTTGCAGTTCAACCTCAAAATTAAGCTCGTTAGCAAGTTCCACAGTTGTTTAGTTTATAAGATTGACATGTTCATCTTTGTCAAATGCTTCTGATGTATGCACAAAACGTTTTAGGCATTTTTTCCATATGCCTTGCATACACTTTTCTGTCACTCCTTCCTAAGCTGATGCAATATTCTTAATGCACTCTAAAATGTTGTATGATTTCCAGAAATCACGAAGGGTTACTTCATTGTTTTCTGTTGTTGCTACAGCTTTGGAAAAAGTTGTGCGCAAAAAGTATGCTTTGAATGTAGCTATAGCCCCCTGGTCCATTGGGTGAAGGATAGCAGTTGTGTTTTTAGGCAGATACACTATCTTTACATCTGGGTGTAGATCATCAAGATGCTGGGGGTGGCCTGGAGCATTATCAAGCAGAAGGATGATTTTAAAGGGAACGCCCTTTTCCAGACAGTAATGCTTCACCGAGGGTGTAAAGCAGTTATTGAATCAATCTTCAAATAAAGCTTACTTCATCCATGCCTTGTTGTTTGCTCGATAGTAAACAGAAAATGTGTGCTTACTAACGTTCTTCAATGCACGTGGGTTCTCAGACCAATAGATGAGTAAAGGCTTCAACTTGAACCCAGTAACATTTCCTCCCAACAACAATGTGACCCTGTCCTTAAAAGCCTTGAAGCCAGGCATTGTTTTAGCTTCTTTGTGTATGTAGGACCTTTCAGGCATTTTCTTCCAAAAAAGCCCGGCTTCATCCACATTAAAGATTTGTTCTGGACAGTAGCCGCCTTTCTCTATGATTTTATCAATTTGGTCAAGAAATTTTTCTGCTGCTTCTACATCTGCACTTGCCGCCTCACCACTGACACTCCGATTATGCAGGTTAAATCTGCGACAAAACCTCTGAAACCATCCATGACTTGCTGTGAAAGTTTCAGTCGACTCTTCACCTTCACGTGCCTTCAAAGTCTTGAAGATACTGAGTGCCTTGGCTTGAATTATTGAAAGACTCATTGGCATTCTTTTTTGTATTTGGTCATCAAACCAGATCGCCAATAATTTTTCCATGTCATGGATGAGGCATTTCCGCTGCCTAGTTATTATGGCTTTAAAACCTGTTGATGTTTTCACTGCCTCCTTCACTCTGTCTTTATCCTTCAGGATGGTTGAAATGGTTGAATGTGCCAGATTCACGTCCTGTGCTATTGCATTAACTTTTTTACCAGCTTCATAGTCATTTATGATCTTCACTTTCATGTCAAGATCAATAGCTTTCCTTTGTTTTTTCCAGGTGAACTCTTCCGTTTTGATGACATCTTGTACTAAGGGGTACAAAATAAACAATACAGTATGGAATATGGTACCCAGATCTCCCAACACTACTCTTCAAGAAAAAGAAGTACTGTACAGTACTGTACATTGTCACACTACAGGTTCCACCTGGGCTGCACATCAGAGAAACGGCAAGGTGGCTGGAATGGCTGGCACACCAGGCATATACAGTACTGTAGTTTTGCAAATATACAGTACTGTACTATACATACAGTACTGTACTGTAGACAGTATGCTGCATAGTACTCACCCAGAAATCTGTTGACTTTTTGCATAGAATCAATGTCGCAGTGTAGCAGTAGAAGTCACCATAGGCCGCACTGTACAGTACTGTAGAAGAAGCCGCAATGCCGCTCATGCTCCTACGTCTGAACTGCACGCCGCACGGTCGCAAGTCCGAATTCCGTCGTAAGTCTGAAAACACACCCCCGGTCGTAAGTCAGAGCAGTCGGTAAACAGGTAGGTCGTTAAACGAGGAATGTATTGTGCAGATCCACCAAAATCAAGACAATTCCTAATCTCCAGATCCCAGTGTTGGTTCACCACCGTGCTCCCCATTCTTTAAGCGGATTCTATTGATGATGGCGGTCTGTATGTTCGGACGTATTGTAAGCTTGTTCTGAGCTAGTTCACCTGTACTGGATGCAGCTAAATGTTAGTGTCATTTATGGATGTTTTAAGCATTTGATTAAAACACATTTTACGCTATGAAGTTTTTAATTCTTGTTTTATAAAGGGATCATTCATTTACGAGCTGGATTACTGAGGCATGAGATGAGATGCGGTCACATCAACACCAGTGAGTCGAGGAAGGGAGACCACGTTGGCGGACAAAACACTGGGATCCGGAGATTGGGAATTGTCTTGATTTTGGTGGATCTTCTCAATACACGGAGACTTTTTATGAAATGTATGATTGTAATAGATGTTACATTGTAGTTGTGTTCAAACACACATATGATTTGATTATAGAAGAAGATCGCATGTATTACACAATGTTTGGATTATAGTTTACTGATATATTTTTTATGGATGTTGTGCATACATGGTGGTGGACAAACACTGGGATCCCGAGATTGGGGATTTTCTTGATTTTGGTGGATCTTCACAATACACGGAGACTTTTTATGATTGCAATAGATGTTACATTGTAGTTGTATATATACACAGACACGATTTGCTGATAGGGGATCACAGATATTACACAACATCATACTAAAGTTTACATTGTAGTTGTTGTTTTCACATACATGGCTTGTTGATGGGAGATCACATATATTACACATTTTTGGGGTTTGTATAATACTTTATATTACTTTATACTTTATATTTACTTTATTATACTTATTTATGGATGCTGTTTATTAGCACTGTGTGTTTTAATCTTGAGTTTACCTACTTTTAATTTGTTTGGTTATACAGCAGCCATGGTGAGGTCGGGCGATTTGTTAGTTTTAGGGCATTATCAGCGCAGATCCTTTATTAATAACATGGCTATGTTGTTACATGAGGGGGAGAGTCAGTTTTGCTTTGTTTTCAATATATGAGACCTCTCTCTGACACACGAAGAGTTAAACTGCTCAGCATGCAGCTCAGAAAAAAACATGTCTGAAATTATACTTTTGGGCCACTGGAAATCTTTTATTTGATTATAGGTTTTAGCCATGACACATGAATGCAGATGGAACCACAGATTTAAAGAAGGAAAATGCTGTGGTCAGTTTCACTTCATTGGACCCTAGAGCGCAGTATCGTTAGAAGCTCATTGATATCCCAGGGTTAATGTGTCCTCTGATGTCTTCCTGGTGCACTTTTACATTGATATACAAACTGCTATTGTGCTTAAATACCTTTTATTATTAGTTAGAGATGTAGAAATCGGCCTCTGCAACCCAAATCGCGCCAGCTGTTCAGAAGTCAAATTCCCATCCAGTCCTGCTGGTACCACTAGCAAAGGAAATGCTGAAACGTTTAGTTCTAGACAGCGGGAAGGCAAAATTACTTTTCCATTATATATACACTGTGTGTGTGTATATATAGTTGTGTGAAAAGGTGTTTTGGTCCCTTCCTGATTTCACATTGTTTTGCACGTTTGTCACACTTTAATGTTTCAGATCATCAAACAAATTTTAATATTAGTCAAAGATAACACAAGTAGACACAACATGCAGTTTTTAAAGGAAGGTTTTTATTATTAAGGGAAAATGAAATCCAAACCCACATGGCCCAGTGTGAAAAAGTGTTTTTCCCCCGCTGTTAAAACATAACTTAACTCTGGTTTATCACACCTGAGTTCAATTTCTCTAGCCACACCCAGGCCTGATTACTGCCACACTTGTTCGAAATCAAGAAATCACTTAAATAAGAGCTCTTAAATGTAGCTCTTGAGGATCTTTTGGTCTACTTCACTTTGTCAGTCAAGTAGACCAAAAGATCCTCAAGAGCTACACATCATGCCGAGATCCAAAGAAATCCAGGAACAAATGAGAAAGAAAGTAGTTGAGATCTATCAGTCTGGAAAAGGTTATAACGCAATTTCTAAAGCTTTGGGACTCCAGCAAACCACAGTGAGAGCCATTATCCACAAATGGCGAAAACATGGAACAGTGGTGAACCATCCCAGGAGTGGGCGGCCAACCAAAATTACCCCAAGAGCGACGACTCATCCAAGAGGTCACAAAAGACCCCACAACAACATCCAAAGAACTGCAGGCCTCATTTGCCTCAGCTCAGGTGAGTGTTCATGACTCCACCATAAGAAAGAAACTGGGCAAAAATGGCCTGCATGGCAGAGTTCCAAGAGGAAAACCGCTGCTGAGCAAAAAGAACATAAAAGCTTGCCTCCGTTATGCCAGAAAACATCTTGATGATCCCCAATACTTTTTTGAAAATACTCTGTGGACTGACGAGACAAAAGGTGAACTTTTTGGAAGGTGTGTGTCCCATTACATCTGGCGTAAGAGTAACACCGCATTTCAGAAAAAGAACATCATACCAACAGTAAAATATGGTGGTGGTAGTATGATGGTCTGGGGCTGTTTTGCTGCTTCAGGACTTGGAAGACTTGCTGTGATAAATGGAACCAGGAATTCTGCTGTCTACCAAAAAATCCTGAAGGATAATGTGCGGCCATCTGTTTGTGACCTCAAGCTGAAGCAAACTTGGGTTCTGCAAAAGGACAATGATCCAAAACACACCAGCAAGTCCACCTCTGAATTCTTAAGAAAAACAAAATGAAGACTTTGGAGTGGCCTAGTCAAAGTCCTGACCTGAATCCTATTGAGATGCTGTGGCATGACCTTAAAAAGGTGGTTCATGCTCAAAAACCATCCAATGTGGCAGAATTACAACAATTTTGCAAAGATGAGTGGACCAAAATTCCTGCACAGCGCTGTAACAGACTCATTGCAAGTTATCGCAAACGCTTGATTGCAGTTCTTGCTGCTAAGGGTGGCCCAACCAGTTATTAGGTTTAGGAGGCAAACACTTTTTCACACAGGGCCATGTGGGTTTGAATTTTGTTTTCCCCTTACAATAAAAACCTTCCTTTAAAAACTGCATGTTGTGTTTACTTGTGTTATCTTTGACTAATATTTAAATTTGTTCGATGATCTGAAACATTAAAGTGTGACAAACGTGCAAAACAATGAATAATCAGTAAGGGGGCAAAAACTTTTTCACA